AGTGGCAGAGGGAGAGGGAGAAGCAGGCTCTGCACTGAGCAGGGAACCCGATGCGGGACTCGATCCCAGGACCCTGAGATCATGACCTGAGCCGAAGGCAGACGCTTAACCATCTGAGCCACCCAGGCGCCCAAACTTGTACCATTTCTAAAATACAGATGATGCAATCTGTGTACAACTTACATTGTACAAACTTCTTTTAATTGGAAATAAGACCCATATTTTCATATCAGTATATAAAAATCAATATGTAAACCTCTAAATGAAAAGGTTTTCAGAATATTTAGCATATTCTGAACTTTTCTATAGGTGCTTAAATTTGGGGGAAAACGTTTATTAATATAACTGTAATATGTAGGTATAACATAAAAATGGATGTATATAATATGAAATTGGGTCAGTATAGTTTCAAATTTCCATTTGTTGATATTCATTCAAAAAAAGTCAGTATTGCAATTAATAAACTATTGAGTGAAGTTTAAGATTTTATGGAACTTTTTTCCCCTTTGAACATGTTCCAGTATGATTATAAAATGAGTATTGTGTTCAAAAGTTAATTGGAAAAAAAAAAATTTTTCATTATAGTTACGTTACCATTTGACATATATCTAGGTTCATTTGTTTCCATATTTTCAATTTGGGGACTTTGGATCTTTTATTTGGTTTAATTTTTTGAATATTTAAAATATATACAGTGGTACAAACGTCAAGATTATGTAAAAATGTACTCAGAAGTCTTAACTTTCATTCATGTTTCTCCATCCAAACCCATAGGTAACCATTATTAGTGGTTTCTGGGTTATCGTCCCAATGTTTCTTTTTGGGAAAATAGTAAAATACTCCTATGTATTTTTAACTCCCCCCCCCCTTTCTTTTAAAGATTTATTTATTTAACAGAGAGAGACACAGAGAGGGAACACAAGCAGGGGGAGTGGGAGAGGGAGAAGCAGGCTTCCTGCTGAGCACGGAGCCCGATGTGGGGCTCGATCCCAGGACCCTGAGATCTTGACCTGAGCCGAAGGCAGACGCTTAATGACTGAACCACCCAGGCACCCCTTTAACTCCCTTTTTTAAATACAAACTAGCCTGTGTACCGTCCTGCACCTTGCTTTTTTAACTTACTATATCTTGCAGATCATTCCACATCATTTCATAGAGATCTTCCTCATTCTTAATGGCTACATAGTACTTTGTTGTTTGGATGAATCATGATTTATGATTTTTTAAGTGTCTTCTATTGATGGATTTTTGGATTTTTTTAAATCATTTGCTATTCCAGATAATGTTGTAGTATAGAACTTTGTGCATATGTTTTGATTTAATGAAAGTGCATCTTAGGGTAGATAATTTTGCATATGTAATTTTGTTATATTTGCCAAATTTCCCTTTCTCACTGTTGTAATCATAGAGATGAACAGGATATGAGAGTACCTGTTTTTCCACAGGCTTGTCAAGAGTATGTTGCCAAACTTAAGGATCTGATGGTAGTCTTAATTTATCCTTTGATGAATGAAAACAAGCCTTTTTTCATATATTTCATGGTGACTTTACTTTCCTTTTCTCTGAACTATCCTTCATATCTTTGGCTTTTTGGTTTTGGCCTTTTTCCTTTTAGTTTTTTGGAAGCTCTTTCTGTATTTGAGAGATTAACCCTTTGAGATATAAATTGCAAATATTTCTCCTGGTTTGTCACTTGTCTTGTAACTTAAATTATGATGAATCTTTTCAGCTTTTTTTGCCATATGGTTATATTTTTAGGTACTTGAATTTATCAAGGTTTTCCCTTTAAAGCTTCTGGATTTTGAGTCATAATTAGAAATACTTTCCCTACACCCAATAATAAAGAAATTTACACACTTTCTTCTATTATATGGTTTTGTTTTTCTACTTTTAGATTTGATTCATTAGTGTTTTATTCTGATGTATGGTGTAAAGTATGGGTCTGATTTAATCTTTTTCCAAATGGCCATCTACTTGTCCCAAAGCCATTTATTGAATAGTCTAACTTTTCCCCCAGTGATTTGAAATGCCACTTTTTATCATATATCACATTTTCTTTCATGTTTGGACTTTATTCGGGCTTTTATGTTCTCTTTCATGGGTTTTTAGGTTACTCATGCACCAATATCACACTTTTAATTATGTAGACTTTATAATATGTTTTAATACCTGATAGGGCTACCTTACCTCCCCAGTTCTTTTGTGGATTTTGCCGGATATTCTTATTTTTCATGTAAACTTTAGATTTAGCTTCTGTAGCTCTGGGAAAAAATTGGTATTTTTACTAAGGAGAATTGACATCTTTATTATGTTCAGTCATCTAAGACATTTATTCAAGTCTGTGTTTTTCAAGAGTGATTTTTCAAAAGTTTTTTATTACAGAAAATTCAAACACACAGAAATAAAAATAATAGTATAATCAACCCCCATGTACTATTTCCCAGCTTCAACAATGTATATCATTTTTAATAGCTGGCATTCTTATAAGCAGGGTTCAGTTCGCGACTATGTTTATCTGACTTCAAAAGGCAGTTTTAGTATGGTCAGTATAACTCACAGAAGAGTTTCTAGGTGAGCTGCAATGGTTATCACATTTATATAGTCTCTGAGAATTTTTTTTTTAAGTAAAGAGCTGTTGATCTTTGAACTCTTCTAGATAGTAATTAACTGTTTCAGAGAGTAATTTGTAACAATGAAAAAAGGAAGTCCTATTCCCTATCAAAGTGTAATACTTAAAAGTTAAACATAATTATAAATTTAGAATGAACCTATGTCATAGATTTTAATTCAATTCATTAAGTATTGAGGGAGCCAGTAAGATGGTAAAACTGGCTCTACGTATTTGAGGAAATTGAGTTGATACAGTCCTTTAAAAAAAATAATAATGTTAGAACAAGATTGCTAGGTCAGAAATAAAACTGGCTAATGTCTTAAAGGTAAGTTTGGGTTATCTTTTCTACTGGACAGAAATCATTTGCCTATCTATTGGACACAAATCTATAGGTTAATATATAACTTCATAGAGTCTGGGTCTTTAATAGTAAGTAGCTAAGTCAGAATTGTTTATTCATCTAGAAAATTAATCCTTAGGTGGACATGTTAAAACAAAGTTGGCAAACTAGAGTATGTGGGTCGGGCGCCTGGGTGGCTCAGTTGGTTGAGGGACTGCCTTCGGCTCAGGTCATGGTCCCGGAGTCCTGGGATCGAGTCCCGCGTCGGGCTCCCGGCTCAGCAGGGAGCCTGCTTCTCCCTCTGACCCTCTCCCCTCTCATGCTGTTTCTCTCTCTCTCTCTCTCTCAAATAAATAAATAATAAAATCTTTAAAAAAAAAAAGTATGTGGGTCAAATCTGGCCTGACCTTTGTTTTTATAAAGTTTTTTTGGAATATAGCCACACTCACTTAGTATCTATGGGGGCTTTTGCACCATTGTGGCAGAGTTGAGTAGTTGTGACAGACTAGTGGCCCACAGAGCCTAAAATATTTACTCTTTGGCCCTTTTCAGAAAGGTTTACCGACTCCTATATTAAGCACTGTTTCAGGATGATATTGAAAGGACATGTTGCCACTAACTTGGTCTTCCAGGATTGGAATAATTTTTTTAAGAACATACATGAACATTCAGATGATAAAATCCGCTCTGCCTGGTATTTTTGTACCTAATGAGCATTTTAACCCCCTCTTCTCTTTCTGTATTTTTACTTTATGCTTGTGTATCTTTCTCATTGGTGTAGCCACATTTCTAGTTGTCTTTCTGTCTTTTCCTATAATTCTGCTTTTTCTTCCTGCTCTGTATTTCACTCTTTTTTCCCCCTTCTTCTTAAACTAGCTGTAATGTAGAATATTAATATATTTAAATTTGGTACTGGAAAAGTTTTATATTCTTGGTCCTTAATTTTTAATTTAGATGAGTTCAAACTATGTGTTTGCCTCAAAATACAAACCAATTTGAGATACAAAATTTTTGTGAATTTCATTAATCTCTTTTCTGCCACTCACCTCTACACCCCAACCCCAGTTACAGCTTTCAGTTAAAGAAAAGTTCCCTACACTGCTTTAATTAAGCTAAAGGAGTGGGAAGAGGCATGGAAATAAAAGGACTCTCTTAGTCCTAAACTGTGTTAGAATATTTTAAAACATTTTTTCCAGGGTGCCTGGGTGGCTCATTGAGTTAAGCATTGGACTCTTGATTTCAGCTCAGGACATGATCTCAGAGTCATGACGAGCCCTACATCGGGCTCAGCACTGGGCGAGGAGCCTGCTTAAGAGTCTCTCTCTCACTCTCCTTCTGCCCTTCCCCACCCTCTCTCCCTCTCTAAAAAAATAAAAAAATAAAACATTTTTACATAGTTTTTTTTTTTTTAAGATTTTATTTATTTGATAGAAAGCTCATGTGAGAGAGAGCATGAGCAGGGGGAGGGGCAGAGAGAGAAGCAGACTCCCATCTAGCAGAGAGCCCAACACAGGGCTTGATCCCAGGACCGTGGGATCATGACCTGAGCTGAAGGCAGACACTTAACTAACTGAGCCACCTAGGAGCTCCCCTCATCGATAGTTTCTTAAACTAAACTTAAATAAAACTGCAGAATTAGAGTCCTGCTAGCCTATTTTCCTGCGGATTGTTAAGTCTAAACGTATATTTTTCTATTTAGAAAAGGTTACATTTGGGGGCGCCTGGGTGGCTCAGTTGTTGAGCGTCTGCCTTCGTTCGACTCAGGTCATAATTCCAGGGTCCTGGGATCAAGCCCTGCGTTGGGCTCCCTGCTCGGCTGGGAGCCTGCTTTTCCCTCTCCCCTGCCCCTGCTTGTGTTCCCTCTCTCATTGTCTCTGTCAAATAAATAAATGAAATCTTTAAAAAAGAAAAAAAAGAAAAGGTTACATTTAGTGTAGACATTTCAAAGTTATACCTTTTTATTCTCACATCCTGTATGAAATCAGAAGTGTAGTGCTCAATTAAAAAATAATTGTACCACTTAGTAAATAATATTTTTTCATCTTCAAGATAAAGCAGAAGGAGAGAAAGAACAATACTGACACTTTATATGAAGTTGTGTGCTTGGAAAGTGAATCAGAGAGAGAGAGGAGGAAAACTACAGCCAGTCCCTCAGTTCGCCTGCCACAGTCTGGATCTCAGAGTTCAATGATACCTTCTCCTCCAGAAGATGATGAAGAGGAAGGTAAATTGTAGGGAGAGCTTAATTTCTATTATGGGGTGGTACACCATGCACACCATTATAATTTTACGAGGGAATTGATACTGTGACATAGCATTTGGAATTCTTTCAGTAAATACTTACGAGAATGTACTGTATGCAAAGGACCATGGGAGATTCAAAAATGATGAGCACAGGACCTTCTTTAAGATAATTGTAATCAAGTTGGAAAAAATGAGATTTATAATTAGTGTTTTTTTTAAAGAATCCGCATGTGCTAGCTTAGTGTATTAGCACATTTTTAGAGCAAACTTGACATAGCTTCCACCTAAATAAATGTTCCCATTTCAACTGGTTCATTTTACAGGGACAATTTCACTTGCCAAAATGTGGCTTCCACACATGACTCTTTCACAAAATATAAGTATTTAAATACACAAGTTTATGTTTATGTATTATTGGATTTTCACACTGATAAACATTAGGAATCATCCAGTTCTTTTTTTCTCTCTCTCTTTTTCTTTTTTTATGGTTATATCCATTAACTAATCTGTCCGTCTCTGTTAAAAGCTACTATATAGAAGTGAGAAGTGGAGAGGAGCAGCACAGGAATAGCAAAAGTTTGGGAAGCATTTTCTAACCTATAATTTTGTACCAGGACTTTTTATTTTTATAAAGAGGAAAAAAGCTGATTATGATAGAAGGTCATATGAAGCATGTGTCTATGTGAGGTTCACAGAAAGTGTTCTGGAAATTCATAGAGGAGAATCCATTTTTCATTGTGGGGAGATGTGGTAGGACATCATGATGAGTAGTTTTTGAGCTGGGACTTTTAAAATTTGTTTCTAAAGTAAAATAATACTTTGTTTATATAATCCTCACAAAAGTTCTGAAAAACAAGATTTCTATTATCCTTATTTTGCACATAAGGAAATGGTATCTCAGAAAAATGAATTTGCCCAAGGCCACACAGCTAGAAATAGGCAAGGAGGATCTTTATCCAGTTCTGAGAGTTAGCAGTCTGAGCTCTATTCTGTAATCATCATGGTGCATTTAGTTCACATAAAGCATTTTGAAGTGCAAAGAAAGCACATATATTGTTTGGGGAGAAGTTGGAGATACAATTTAAAGTCTTCCTGCAGAAACAGTTGAGTCATGTGTTAAAGCTGGGAAAGGTGGAATTGTTCTCACCGTTTGAGACTGCTCTATAACTAGTGGTCTTGAGACTTGTAGTTTACCTTCTAAGTCAACACTGCTTAAGATGGAAGAGCAAGTAATAAAGAACTCTTCTCCCCTAAAACTCAGCAGTAAAAACAAAATGCACCATAAACTGAGACAGACACTCTATTTTTGATGAAACCAGAGAATGGTCAAATGCTGAATCTGAATGCTGTAGATTTTAAAGAATATCTACCTGTTACAAAGAAATTTGGGCCCAGCTGAAGGATAACATCCGGACTAATGTCTGGTTCTAATCTATGGCAGGCATACATTTTTCAGTGGAATTGAGGAGTTCAGAGGGCCTCTAGTAACAGGTGTTAACTAGGAGAGATAAGGACCAATAGCAGACCATGGGAGAGTTAGGGAACACTAGAACACAAGTTCTGTAAAGGACAAAAGTGTCTTTTTTTGCCCACATTGTTTCCCTAGTGTATAACACAATTCCTGGTGTGTAATAGATGCTCGGGAGATACTGGTGAGATAGGTTTACCCCCCCCACCCCTCCAACCTTCCGCCCCCCCCCCCCATCCATTCCCATAGTGAAAGGCTAATGACATGACAGGACCATGGGGCTTAAGAAAGCTGTGTAGTCTTCCCATCTTTTCATTCTCTAACCTAGTGTATGGACCAGGGAGACCCATCCTGTTGTCATGTGTTTGCTTCCTAGAAAGAAATGGCTATAGTCCTCTAGTAGAGAGGCTCCTTATCCATAGGACATTTGTGCTCCCAGGGCAGGAAGCCAGCAGGTATAAAGGGGAGGTGTTCAGAAACAATACTCTGAAACTGAGGTTGCCTGCTCCCTCCCCACCCATACCCCTGCCTTAGGTAGATGGAGTTCTAAACACATATTTCAAACTGCTACTGTTAAGATATGTTGAAAGCATCCAAAACAGTAAAAGAGAATTTGATAAGACAGATCTTCCTAATCTCTTTAAAGGAATTGTCATCTCTGGTACATTTTAGTACATTTTTTATAGCTGCTATTCCCCAAAGAGTTGTTGTGTTGTATTGATAATTGAATGAGTAGAGAATTACTTGAAGCATTAGAAAGTAGGGCCAATTCTGGCAAAATAGCAAAGTTGGGAAAGTTTATCTTCATGCCCTCGAGCCTTTCTCCTTTCCTTATTTATCCTGTCTCCCATTTGTCCCAAAAGAAGTCTCACTTACATTCAGTCTGTGTCTTCCCTATCTCACCATCAAAACCGATGCTAATGTCCAAGGTGTTATAATGTAAAGAAGTAATAAGTATCATGGATTTCTGAGCTGTTGCTAGTAGAGATGCAAATTCATGATGTAATCATTAAAGGTATAAAGGTCCAAACTTTGTTTAGGCAGGTTAAGCCAGAAGACTTAGAAATAGCATTGGTGAGGACACTTGGAAAGAAGTACCGTAGTCCCCTACTAGTGGAAATAAATTGTAGAGCCATTCTGGAAGGCAATTTGTCAGTAAGCTTCAAAATATCCCAGGAAGTCCACTTCTGGGCATGTGCCCAGTGAAAACAAGAGTTATGTTCATCCTGATACTATTTGTAGCAGAAAATTGAAAACTCCCCAAGTGTCCAGCAAAAGAGGATTGATTACATAAATGTCTTAGTCCATGTTTCCCCCTTTCATTACACTTTTAAATTCCTCTCACAGGCCTTTATCGTTGTCAGTTTTTTCACTATCTTCATATCTTATAATCTTTAAATTCTTATTTGAGTTTACTTAATTACTAAAGTTTGAAATGACTCATTTTGGTCTTTTTTAATATTTTTGTGCTTTCTGTAATAAATATATGCCATTGTAGAAAATTTAGAGTCCTAAAAACATAAAGGAGGGGGGAAAGAAATCATAACTCCATCACTCAGAGATTGTAATTGTTAATGTCTTAGCATAATTTACTCCAGACTATTTTGATCAGAATGAAGATTTATTAGCTCCTGGTTTTTATTTTATGTGGCATTTTGCCAGATTATTAATGTAAACACATGTCAATATGTAATTACATTATAAACATATATCATAATTTAATCAGCCTCCTATTGCTGCTCTCCTATTGTTGGACACTTAGGTGGTTTGTAACTTTTTTTAACTGTGGTAAACAAGACTGCTATATATTTTCCTGGATAAAGTTGTTTGCTTTGGAAAAGGAAAAAGAAGATAGCATATTTTGAGTCTTAGAAATGGCTCTTTTCTACAGTTAACATAATGTGGACTCTATGGAAAGTGAAAGAAATAAAGAGATCATAGCAACATTGTACCTAGGATCATTTTTATTTTCTTTGTATTTATATCTGTATGCTAAAAGAGAGAAATAGAACTTCTGACTTTTATGCTCCCAGTAAAATCTTTCAAATTTAACTGTTATGTTTCCATTCATTCTTCTGGCTAGCATAGCCACTTCTGTTATCCTTTTTTATGTGTTTTATTTATTAAAGATAATGATGAACCTCTCTTGAGTGGATTTGGTGATGTATCCAAAGAATGTGCAGGAAAAATTCTTGAAACATGGGGAGAACTTCTGTCAAAATGGTAAGTTAGAATAGTTCTCCTTTTCATCTGTAATTCTCATTTTATGGGTAGGGTATCTTCCCCTAACTACAATATTCAATTTTGGAATTGTTCTATTTTGGAACCTATTATAGAAACCAAAGTATGGGGTTTGTGTTCTAGAATCTCTATTTTTAGAGATTTATAAGGGTAAGTAGTGACGATCTGAAATCACCTTTCAGAATATCAGAAACCTAATAAATTCTCATTGCTGCAGAAAATATTAATTCAGACATGGAATGTATGGAGAGAATAAATCAGGAAAGAGCTCCTTTTTATTGACGTGGTTAGGAACCACTGACTGGTTAAGATAATACACAATTAAGACAGTACACAATAATCAGGGAAGTTTGGAAGATGCTTACACAATGCACAGAGCCACAGTAGAGACCTCAGGTGGGATTTTTCCTTATCTGTATTATGTACCTAAAGTGACAGAGCAGAGTGTTATGAACATGCTGTATATTGACTGGTCTAACAATTATTTTTCCTACTGACACTTGTAAAACTCAGGAATTTCTTGTCAAGAGAAAGTCTCAGCTCGAGAGATAGCTTGACAACAATATTAAGAAGCACTATCCTATAGACTGTCTAGAAAGGATACACTGTGGTGTATTTCTTAATGAAACCAGAGACACTCTGCTAAGTCAGGTTGGTGAGACATTTATGTAGTTTCCTTTTTCCTCTCTGTAGGATGCCATTATATGCTGCGGGGAAAAAAAAGCTTGAAAGTGATCTGAGCACTTCTCTATTTCTGACATTCTGGTTGTTAGGGTTGTCATGTAAGCTCCCCATGGGCCTATTACTTTGGGGTCTAATTTTTCTCAGAAAATTTAACTGTTAAGCCTTTCACTCTATTCTTAGAAAACTGTTTTTCAGCATTTAAAAATCTTCCATGTCCTTAAGGGATGGGATTACAAATGGGCATGCATCTGCTTCTAGCACTCCCACAGTGCTTTACACTTTTGGTGAAACGTGCTCCACATCGGGAAATGTCAAATGTGTACAGGAGGAGAATGCAAACCAAAGCATGGTTTGTCTTTATACAAGTGGTTTTAGTAAATGAACTCTGCAAAAAGCCCCTTCACCCGCCCAGGATAGAGTTCTCATTTACTTTTGATATTCCTATAGCAGTGGTGAGACAAACCTGCTGATGCTCTCATCACAATTATATTTTCAGCTCAGTGAATTTGGAGTGTTTGGACTGCTGCTGGCAGGCATTTCATCTGTATAAAAAGGTTTCTGCTCTAAAATAGAAACGTAATTGAATCTTGACATGGTTACATAATAGTATATTTAAAATCATTGAGATACAGCATTCAGACTCTAGATTTTATTAGATGAACTCACCACCATTTTATACAATTGCTTGGAATTTGTTACCAAATTTTATTCATTCATTCATTCATTTATATTATGTCTTTCTCCCACTTCCTCAAATATATTAACTGAGTCTACATGTTTGTTTGTTTTTTTAATTTTAAAAATTATTATTTCTTTTTGCTCTTGTTTCATTTCTCTTCCTTGAGCTTCTTTCTGGAGACTTTAGGTCTGTTGGCCTTTTTTGTATAGGTGGTACCCAGTGAGGCCCAGGAGGGCTGGTGCTACATGGTTCTTTAAGGTGTTTAAAACTGTCTTCACTGGTTTGGGTCCTGTCTTCAGAAATAATAATATAGTTTGTTTCTCTTCTTTAATTCATCTTTTTTCCCCATCATTATTGTATATGTTCTGTAGGTAGGAAACATTGCAATATCATGGAATTTTAGAGCCTAATAGACCTGGCTTTACATCCTTCCTCTCCTCCGTCCAAGCTGTGTGGTCTTGGGCAAGTCACTTAACTCTTCTGAGTCTGTTTCTTCATTTACAAAATATACAAGTCTTTGAAATTACCATTCAAGATTATTGTGAGTTAAAAATAATGGATGTTGTACTCGTAGTAATAGTCGTGAGAATTAATGAATTTACCATATGCCAGGCATTGTGCTAAGTTATGTACTTGATTTCAGCTATTATAACAGCCTTATGAACTAGTATCTATTTATATAGATGAGGAAACTGGCTCAGGGATTTAGTCAGCAATTCTGGTTAGTAAATGGCAGACCTAAAATTTTTAACACAGGCAAGTCTGAGCCTAAAGTTGGTTTATTTAACTCCACATTAGATTTTAGTGGCAGTATTGTAATAGTACCTTTGAGCTCTAATTCTCCAGGTACATTTTAATGTGATTCTTAGTGGATAAGAGAACTAATGTTGGTATAAAATAGTATGTTGAGGGTAAATAAAGTTAATACGATCAACGACATAAAGTTATTCTGAAAATAATTTTACCAATATAAATTAAGCTAGGATTAGCATATAAACCTAGGGTTAGGTTTATTATTTCTGTCAAGAGCCAGGTCATAAATACTTAGGCCATAAATATATAGGTCATAAATATTAGGCTCTGTGGCCCAGTAGTCTCTGTCACTACTACTCAACTCTGCTGTTGTGGTGCAAAGGCAGTCATAGACAATATGTAAACAATTTAAAAAGCCTATGTTTCAATAAAAGTTGCTTTACAGAAACAGGCGGTGGGCAGATTTGGCCCACAGGCCATAGTGCACCAATCCTTGAATTAAGTAGCAATTGCTTTTGTTCTTTCTGCTCACAACCCTTCAACTTTTATATATATATATATGTATTTTTCCAAGCAAAGACAAAACCATATTGAATTGTCTATAGCTACCGCATTAGGGTACTAGCATCACGGAATTAACCATTTTTAAATGTACTGTGCATTATTCTTTAGAATTCTGGGAATGTTTTGAGAAAAGTCTGAGTCCTTTTTGTATTTTGAGAGTGGTCATTTTGTATCAGTAACTTCTGTTTAAATCTGGTAGTCACAGAAGCCTTTCCAGGTCAGGATTCTGCATTACTGACTCAGTAATGGTGGCTTTCAGAACACAAAGCAGCCATGAAATCCAACAGAATATTTATTGATCTGAGTTTGAGGACTGCCTGAGTCATTTAATCGACTTCCCTGAACTTCTTTCTCCATCGGTAAAACTGGAAATACTAACCACCTACCTCAGATGGTTATTGTGAAGATCAAATAAGATTATATGTAAATCACTTTATAAATTGGTACCAATTCGGGCGCCTGGGTGGCTCAGTCGGTTAAATGTCTCCCTTCGGCTCAGGTCATGATCCTGGGGTCCTGGGATCGAGTCCCGCATCAGGTTCCTTGCTCTGCGGGGAGCCTGCTTCTCCCTCTCCTCCCCACTTGTGCTCTCTCTCACTATCTTTGTCTCTCTCTCTCAAATAAATAAATAAAATTTAAAAAAAAAATTAAAAATTATACCATTTCAAGATAAGTTTTATTTTCCCCATTTTATAGACTAGATAAATGAAGTTCAAAGACTTTAATAACTTATTTGGATGTTACAGTAGTACAGTAGAAATTTTCTTACAGTCATTCAAAAATGTTACTTGAAGCAAGGTATCATAAAAAATGCTGAAAGCTTTATTTTTATATTTATTTTAAATATTTATTTTAGCTTAATTTTAACTTGGTACATATAAATACACAATTCATTTGTGAGTTTTGATGCAGGGCCAAGCTCTTATCTTTGGCTTTGTGTCCGCTGATTGGAATTTTGCTTTGTTTTTCTTAAATAAGCCACAACCATGAAGCTATAGTTTCTAGTTTTGATTTTTATTTAAAAAAATAAAAATAGAGCAATAATTTAAAGATACTTAGGAAACAGTCTGCACAGTTCTTTCCACCACCCAATCTTTTAGTTATCTTGGCCACATCTAATTCAACGGCTTTATTTTTTTTTTCTTTATTAGTATGTTACCTTTATTAAGTCTGTAAAAATCATTTAGTCTAGTTTTCATAAAAATAACACTGTTTAGGGGTGCCTGGCCAGCTCAGTCGGTGGAGGGTGTGACTCTTGATCTTGGGGTTGTGAGTTTGAGCCCCACATTGGGTGTAGAGATTACTTAAAAATAAGATTTTTTTTTTTAAAGATTTGATTTATTTGAGAGAGTGCGAGAGAGATCACAGAGGGGGAGGGAGAAGCAGAGTTGCTGCTGAGCGGAGAGCCCGGTGCAGGGCTCAATCCCAAAATCCTGAGATCCTGACCTGAGCTGAAGGCAGATGCTCAACCGACTGAGCCACCCAGGAGCCCCAAAAATAAGATCTTTAAAAAAATAATACACTTACAGATTATGGCTTTATTTTTAGGCATCTCAACTTGAGTGTGAGACCAAAGCAGTTGTCATCCTTAGTAAGGAGCGGTGTTCCTGAAGCTCTGCGAGGAGAAGTCTGGCAGCTGCTAGCAGGTTGTCACAACAACGACCACCTGGTAGAAAAATACCGAATTCTCATTACAAAGGTAAGGGGCTGGTAATTCAGCATTAATCCTTTTAAAAATCTGTTAGGAAAAGATTGTTATGGCTATTTGATTTCAGGGAACTTTTTATAATTCCTTTATCTAATATAAGAATAGAACTTTTAAATACACTTCTAGCCCAAAGTTGTTTCTAGTGTTGGCACAGAAAAGAAGGAAAAAGGTTTTCTTTCTTGATTGGCTTCACCTCAGAGGCAAAAGATGTCCTCTACTCATTGGGTAGCTAAATCCTTTTTGAACATAATTGTATTTTTAGATCATTCATGCTATGCAGTATGAAAAACTTTCTTTTGTTTATTTTAATTGTTTTCACACTTCACAGAAATGTGTTCTTTGTAGGTAAGGCTTAGTTCTAGTTTCTACAATTCGAAGAACATGATTTTATTCTTTTCAATTGTATTCCCTTTAGCGCATTCCTCTAAAAGGAAGAATTCTCATTTTTTATAGTATCCCTTTCTCAAGTGCATACATTCCTCAAGGTTTTATAAGCAAAGCAATAAAAACTATTCTCTGTACAGCATACAAGAATTGAAATTAATTTTCTTCAAGATTCGATGATGCTTTGTGCCTTTGCACCCATCTCATTGGTTTTAATTTTTGTTGTTGTTTCTCACATTCTTGAAGTATTTATCTTTGGAAAGCAGTTTCTCCAGTCCCAGACCTGGGTTTTGAATGAATTGCTCAGAACCCTCAATAAAACATCAGCATTTTTCAGTGTGACAAAAGGTGGGCTTCTTTTAAAGATATATTAAAACCTTAAATGAATAATATCTCCATAAGTGTTTTTTAAAGTAATAGTCTTATGGGGAAGAACAGCATTTTGAACACAAAATTGGACCTTTTCTCACCAAAAAATGACTTTTACTTGATCAAAATATTGCTGTTGTCATCATTTTATTTCTAGACAGATTTTTTTTTTTTTTTTGAAGAACTAATATTCTGATTCCCTCCATTATGTTGCTGTCATTGTTCAAACAGCATTTATTGAGTGCTCATTACAACCTCAGTGCAGGAGCTAGGAGGTGAAACACAAAGCAATCATTTGTCATTACAATAGACACAAGTCAGGGTGGCCTGAAATAGCAGTGGGGGCCATTGAAGGAGTGATTAATTCAGCTTGGGAGAACAGGAGAGTAATGTAATAAGTAATGCAACATTTAAGACCAGTTCCAGAGAAGAGCTCCCCAGCCATGGACAGATGGAAGAGCATTGTACTTGTAGTATGAATGGAGGCATTGAAGAATGAAGATACGTAACAGGTATAGCTAGTGAAGGTACACCTACTTGGTTGTTTTTTTTTTTTTCCTATTGCTGGCAAATTATATTTTGGATAAATAATTCTCAGTTATATCTCTGTCTTTCCAAATCCTCTTTTGAAGTCCTTTGAAACATTTGGTCAAAAATTGTTTCTTAAATGTTTTTGGTGTGGATTTTCAGACAGATAATTTTTAAAGATACGAACTGTCCAGTTTTTCTGGTTCCATGAAAATGGTGGTTCTTGAATAGGAACCTGGTAGTTATATGATGTGTAAAAGATCACTTTATTAACAAACTCTGATCTATTTGATTAACGTTTTATATATGCTGGTGTCATGTGCTTTTTATTTCACATTAAACTTCTACTGTGTGGGTGGCTAGAACCTAAAAAGATTTCTCATGGATGTATAATTATTTAGGGGCGCCTGGGTGGCTCAGTCGTTAAGCATCTGCCTTCGGCTCAGGTCGTGATCCCAGAGTCCTGGGATCGAGCCCCGCATCGGGCTCCCTGCTCTGCGGGAAGCCTGCTTCTCCCTCTCCCACTCCCCCTGCTTGTGTTCCCTCTCTCACTGTGTCTCTCTGTCAAATAAAATAAAAAAAGAATTAATTAATTAATTGCTGGTAGATGATCAGAAAATACAGATTATTTAACCATCATAATATTGGTGAATGCTTCTTTTTGTTTTACACTGCAGTATTATTTAATGTAAGTTTATATTGCTTTTCTTTTCAGCCTTACTGGAAATAATAGTTATTGTTGTATAGGAATGGTATTGATATTTTAAATTTTGTTCTGAAATTTTTTTAGGGGAAAAATTACTTTAAAATTTTTTAAATTTATTTTCACAGCAAGGTGTAATTTATATAGGCTAAAATATACAACTTTGAGGTATACAACTCAGTGATATTTTACATATAAATACACCGCTGTGACTACTACTAAGAGGAAGAATATACCCAGCACCCCAAAAAGTTATTTCTGTCGCATTCCAATCATAACCGCCCCTTCTCTGCCCTTGAATAACCATTATTCTGACTCTTCTTTCCCTACCATTAGTTTCAGTTGTTCCTGAGCTTCATTTAAATGCAATCATGCAGTTGTGCAGCATGTCCTTGTTTGTATGTGACTTCTTTTGATCATTCTATTTTGGGAGTGTATCAGGAGGCGTCTTCATTTTTTTGTTTTTTGTTTTCATTTTTTTAATTGCTGAGAGTATTCCACTGTATGAATAAGCCACACTTGAAAAAGCCACACTTGAAAAAAATCTATGCTGCTGTTACAGATGTTTGGTTTTGCTTTGTTCTTTTCCAGTTTTAGCCATTATGAGCAAAGCTGCTATGAGCGTTCTTGCATTTAGCAAATGTTATGGTCTGAATGTTTGTCTCCCTCAAAATTCATGTGGTGAAGTTTAATTTCCAAAGTGATGGTGTTAGTATTAGGAGATGGGGACTTTGGGAGGTGATTAGGTCATGACAGAGATCTCATGATAGCGATTAGCACCCTTATAAAAGAGGGTCCAGAAAGCTCCCTCGCTGCCTTCCATCGTTTGAGGGCACAGCAAGAAGTCAGTAGTCTGCAGTGAAGGAGAGGGTCTTCATCACATCCCAACCATGTTCACACCCTGATCTTGGATTTCCTGCCTCCAGAACTATGTGCAATAAATTTCCGCTGTTTTTAAGCCATCCAGTCTGTGGTATTTGTTATAGCAGTCCAGATGGACTAAAACAGCAGGATTTGTACATATTAGTATACATGTATTGACAATAATATTTACTTATGTATATGTATTTTTAATTTATTTTGGACATGGGTTCTTTGCCAGATACATGCTTTATGTTCTGAAATTCCACCTGTAATATTACCTTAGAGGGTTATTTATTTATTTATTTATTTATTTGAAAGAGCACAGAGGGAGAGGGAGAAGCAGGCTCCCTGCTGAGCAGAGAGCTCCACATGGGGCTCGGTTCCAGGACCTTGAGATGAGAACCTGAGCCGAAGGCAGACGCTTAACTGACTGAGCCACCCAGGCCCCCCTCGAGGTTTATTTTGCTTAGCTTCTTCAAAGACTAAATTTAAGATAGGACACAGGGATTTGATTTGTAGAGTGAAGCCCCCCCCCCCCGAAAATTAACTTGCAAACAAAACTGATGAATGTCTTCATCATCATCTTGCTTTGTCAAGCTTGATTTATAATGGGATATATGTAGGATTTTTCCCATGTGACTTTTGTAATCCAAGGACAAAGGCCTTTCAGTAATAGAAAATACATAGGTATATATATTTTTAAGGTTTTTTTAAGATTTATTTTTGTGTTAGAGAGAGCAAGAGCATGTGGAGGGGGAGGGGCAGAGGGAGAGAAGAATCTCCAGCAGACTCCCTGCTGAACAAGGAGCCTGACGTGGTGCTCCATCCAACGACCCTGAGATCATGACCTGAGTTGAAATCAAAAGTTGGATGCTTAACCAGCTGCACCACCCAGGCGCCCCAAGGTGCTTCTTATTTATAAAAGCAATGGAGTTTGGAGGCACTCTTGTTTTTGTTTTTGTTTTATGTTTGTCTGGGGTTTTGTTTTTTGCTTTTTCATCTCAAGAATGAAAAAGTATAATAATAATAGCTGCCCCTTTTGAGCACATGTGTCACATGCCGAATTGAGCACTTTATAGTCATTATGTCATTATTCTAAGAAAATCCCCATGAAGTGGTAATTACTATTTCCGTTTTAGAAATGAAGCAGAGGTTCAGTGAAACTTAGTAATTTGCTTTCAGTCATTCAGCATGTAAATAAATGATAGAGGCAGAATTTGAACTCAGGAACGACTCCAAAGCTGGTTCTTTTCCATTATTCTCCCTACTTGTCTATCCTTGAACTTAAATAAAAATTTTTGTATACAGCCATATGTGTACTCATACAGAATTTCATGTGGACACATAAACATGCTTATTTTTATGTGTAGATTTTTATTCAGTTACTCTTCTCTTGGTAGGCATTTACTTTGTTTCCAGATTCTAGCCTCTCCAGACATCCTTGTATGTGTTCTAAATCTTTTATGGAATAGAGTCTCAGGAGTATGATTGCTGGATCAAAGGGTCACATGTTTTTTAAAGTAACTTTTAATTTTTATATTTAATTTACTTATATCCAGTTTGGTTCTCTGAAAGGCTATTACTGTTCATAGTTCACCAGCAATGTAGCAAAGTATCTGTAGCCCCACATCCCAAACAGTATTAGTTACCAGTAACTGTATTTAATTTTTTGCTCTCAATGGATGTAAGTGATACCAGCATATCTTCAGGCAGTTCTCTGCCTACCAGTAAATTTGAGCGATTTGCTCTTCTGTGAGTTACCTCTTTATCTTTATTAAACATAAAATCTCAAAGCCAGAGATGGAAGAAAATCACTTAAATAAAATAAAAATTATTTACCAAAAAAAGAACTCTCTAAGTATTCTCTATTATGTATATTACTCCTTTATCTTCATTATAAATACCTTTCTAAAACTAATTCCTTATTGACTTTATTGATGGTTTCATGCCATACAAAACATTTTCAATTTTTATGTAGAAAATTGTGTCTCGGTTAAGGTCTCCTACCTTTAAGTTTTGTTAAGTGCAGTTTCTAAGATTTTCTTGCAAGATTTTTGTTGTATGTGTTATATATTTATATCTTTAATCCATCTGGAACTTATTTTTGTACATAGCATATGATAGCGGCCCAATTTTAATTTTT